CGAAACAGTCATGTTGGCCGAAACAGTCATGTTGGTAGAGAACATCAAGCGGTGGGATAGGTAAATATAACTCGGGTGAATACGCTGAAACGCTCTAAGTGACCCGGGCTCTCTCTACAATTAGCACTAATTCCATAGTCAGGAGTCGGAAGTCGTGTCACAACGCAGCAAGATACGCTGCCTTTAAGTAACCACCTAACTACCTATCTCATGTATCCTCCATTTCTCGTTTCTTGATCATCTGTATAGAGTTCACCTTGTGAGCCCAACCTTGACGGCATATGTGAAGATATGACATCCAACGTCCAGTGTGTGTGCGCGAGCAGTACTCACTTGACCTATGCAGTAAAATCTCTTGGACCGTTTTAGGCTTCCAGCTCAATATCAGCCCTCGTTATAGAGGTAGTTAGTCGTTTATGACTGCATGTTTCCAAGGGAAGTGCCGTTCTGCTCGCAACCTAATCAAACCTCTCATAAAATGGGCAGGGTGGGACGACACAGGGATATTCGTTTTATATAACGATATGGTATCTCAGGAATGACCAGCGAATTGAGCGGCAACAAGCGGTTTTCCTCAGGGCTAGCCGTACTGGCGCTGCGTTTTCCTTCCCTTCCCTTCCTGCCAACCCCCCCCCTCCCTCCCCCAACACGCGTACCGGCGGGTAAGAAACCTAGCTGCAACTGCACTTTGGCTTCGTTCCCGTCAGTCCTACCACCACACCAACACTATCACCACTAACACACCACCACCAACAAACCACCACCAACACCATCATTACCACCGCCATTGTTTCATCGTCACGGCATATCAAGGTGGACCAGCTAGATCCGAGCCTTGTTCAGCACGTCAACACGAATGTCTCGGCCGTCGTTGAGAGGTACCTGCTCGACGACCAGGGCATAAGGCCTAAAACCACGCGTAAGGCATACGGAATACAACAGGCCGAGTGGATGGTTAGTCAACTTGGCCGGTTTCCCGTGTTACGGAAGCCTGGCAGCTGACGGAGGACGTAGGAATGGTGCAAATCTCGCTTTCAAGGATCCCGCCTGGTTGGCCGGCGCAGTACCAGATAGGCAGAGCCCTACCTGGCCACCTTGTTGACGAAGGGAAGCTGTTACGTTACTCTTTCCTGACGAAAAGATCGCCTCCCGCGCTCCAAAACGCGGCAAACGACGCAAGGCCGAGACGCAACGGCTGAAGGCAGAAAGGAAGCGGAAGCCGAAGAAGCAAAAGCGGGAGGGGAGCCCCATGTCGTCGTCGACCACTAGGGTAGAAGCCGTCGATGTGATTGTTGTTGGGAGGAGACCAGCCAAAGATCAGGATCAAGATGGAAAGTTGGAGTTGGAGTTGGAGTTGGAGTTGGAGTCGAAGTCGGATCAGGATGACTTCGGTCCGGATTCGGCTAGCGGTACCTCCTCTATGCTCAAGCAAAGTATAGTACTGTACGGCTCTACTTTAGCGCTATATCAACCTCTATGCGCAACAAAAGTCGAGAGGCGAGCACTCTGCTCACATCCTAGCAGTCTCGCGAAAAAGGCGCTTATACGGCATATCATCCACGTGATGGATGGATGGATGGAATTTATTTCGCCCGGAGGCACGAAGCCTAAAGGGCCTTGGCACGCTAACTACATCCCATTCGTTGACGTTCAACCATCAACTC